TTAGGTACGTCTATTAATTTGATCAATAAGTATGCAAATCTAACATATAAACTCTCCGACATCTCGGCTGACTGTTAAATGGAAGCCTTGAGAATTTTCTAATCGTACAAAAAAGGAAGTGATCTACAACATCCAAATTTGGTAATATCCGAGACTGTAATATAGCGATGATCTGACCACTTTTGCTATGTAAGGTGTATTAAAATTATGTTATGTTTTTTTTTAAATCGTATCTCCGTTCAAATTCGCAAAAAAAAATTTATATAGGACTACAATAGTATGTTTTTTTTTTTGCAAATTTTTATATGCTTTTAGATGATTGGCACCGTATTGATTTTATAACTGATAATATTAAAATATACAACGATCATCACTACCGGGTATTTTTTTGTTAAAAGAAGTATACAACTTTACCTAATTAAATAATTGCTAGCAAATAAGTTTAAATGCTAGATATTTTATCTTTTAAGATATGCACACTATGTAGCACGATCCATACAAAAAAAAAAAAAGTGATACACCTTTTAACAATATATATTAATTAATACCGGTACACAGTAAAACTTTAATTTACGTACGTATATAAATAAAAAATCCATCGTATTAATTTGTATAAACACAGGATTAATTTTCTCGTGCAACACTTACTCCTAAAAATTTACGGTAACAAAAGTCTCTCGCTCCTTCAAAACAGAAAGTCTCTTGGCCAACCTGATATTAACTTAGTCCTTATTCGTGTTCTTTAAAAGAGCCCATTTCTTACGCAGAAGTCTAGCTCTGTGTAGCTGTCGTCTGAAACGTTAACTTCCGACATCCACCACACAAAAGTTAGTCCTGTCGAGGACTTCGTCATCTCTCGTTAAACCTTCCACCCTTTAGTCAAAAGTCATTTCTCAACATCCATAATACAAAATCGCCAAGATGATGTTATATAAGTTAGTCGTTCTTGGGGACGGTGGTGTTGGAAAGGTACCACATATTTTATTAAACTATGTTACGTCACTTGCCGTGTGGTGTGGGAGGTCTATTTTTCAACCATCTTAAGCTTTTTATCCTTTACTTAATCTTCAGACGGCCCTTACAATCCAGGTTAGTAAAGTAGAGCAGCGAATTTCAACATTTAGTCAACGTTTGAGCTTACCCGAAATTTCTTTTCATTTGCCTGAACATGTTAACGCGATATTTTGGTTTATTTATAGCTGTGCCTAAACCACTTTGTGGGTAAGTTCAATAAAAAGCTGAGTCTTTATGCATTTATAAATTCTAACGTCGAATTATCATGTTTCGACACATTCTTTAATAGAGGTTTGCATTATCATTCATCATGAATCTTACTATTTATTTGTAAAAATTGATTGATGTCATCAAGTTTAATTATTTTAATTATTTCGCTATTATTTGGATCATTATAATTATTAGACATATGATCCCACAATTGAAGATTCATATCGAAAACAAGTAGTTATTGATGACCACCCCTGCGTACTAGAAGTACTGGACACTGCCGGACAAGGTAATCAAACTTTTCAAATTAAATAATACATTGCTTGAAGAATCATATTAAAGAAATTATATAAATGATGATTGTTTTAAAATTATTATTGATATATATAAATAATGCAATATTTCGAGTTCTTATGGTTCATAACAAAAGCACACTATTCAGCATTCTTACATTAGATGATTTATTTCCTTTTTCATGAATTTAATAGAGGAATATACGGCGTTGCGTGATCAATGGATTCGGTAAAGTATCATAATAAAATTTTTATAATCTGTTTTAAGTGAACCTGAAACACCGGCTATCTTTAATTGGTAAATAAGTGACGGTGCAAATGTGTGTAAAGGCGTACTCAAGTTCGTTACACTGGGGTGTGATTTATCTATGCCAAATAATAATAACTCACATAAACATCGTTCCTAACTCAATCTATAAATCTAATACGATAATTTTTGGTGCAGAGATGGTGAAGGCTTTCTTCTAGTTTATTCCATATCTTCGCGATCCACATTCGAACGTGTAGAACGATTTCATGATCAAATCACGAGGGTAAAAGATACTGAACCAGTTCCACTTATGCTTGTTGGTAATAAGTGCGACAAAATTACTGAACGAGAGGTCTCACGAGAAGAAGGAATGAATATGGCAAGAAGACTCAAATGTGAGTTCATTGAAAGTTCCGCAAAGACATGCGTAAACGTAGAAAGGGCGTTTTACGGAGTGGTTAAAATGATAAGGCTAAACAGAGAGGGCGGAAAAGACAGCAGAAGGAATAAGAAGAAAGCAAAGTGCGCAATTTTATAATTTATGTTTATGTGGATTTTTTTTTTTTTTAAGATGGAATAGTGACGTGCGTTGTAGGTAAATAAGCCAGATGTGATTTTAATAATTGCAGGTTTATTATCCTTATTTTATTTCGTAAAATGTCATCTTAAAGGACTTTTTTACGATTTTTTTTTTTTTCGCACGTAATTTATGTTTTTATCGGTATTGTTGTTTGGGCAAAAAATGAAACCTGCCTTTTCTTTATTACCATTCTCAAACATCTCATGCCAAAGAAGTTTCAACGTACCCTTTTGAATTTACAGTCATTTGTGGATTTATTTCTATGTGAATTAATATCATCTTACCCTGAACATTTCCTCTGTCGTTTCGTTTTCGCTTCGATTTTTATTCTAAAATAATTGGAGGGATACTTTACTAAAATCGTTTTGTAATTATTATGTTGCTTAAAAAAATATATATATATATATAAGATTTGTTCATACACTTTATACACACAGAATAATAGTGTATATGAATGTGAGTAAATTATGTATGTTGTATTATTTATTTAAATGTGATTTTATAGAAATATATAGTAGATACATCTTTTTATTTATACTTTATACTTTAAAATATAGTGATTGTATGTCATTTTTATACATACTGTATTTTCGCGAAATAACGAGCATGTGCGCAGGGTTTTCAGTGGTAAACTGAATTACTGGTAAGTTACCATGAATTTTTAATTTAGGCCAAAATTCGAAATTACACCCTGCGTGTTCTTTCGCGAAAACACGGTACTACTTTTCATAAAAGCTTTATTCTTTATATATATATGTGTGTGTGCCAAATGGGGAATTACTATTAACGTTTTCGATAATAAGTAAAAATAATATAAAGAAAAAAAATACATCTCGCAATTTACTGCATAGAACGAGAAATTTTACTTTAAAAAAAATTTTTCATTATAATCGGCCGGCTTTTTTTTTATTTTTTGCTGTTTTCACATTTTCCGATGACCGAATCGACAAGTTACCGAGTCGGAACCAATATGTTACCGACGTAGACCGAAATCAAAAGCTTGTTAAAAATTTTTTAAAACCTACCCGGTTATTAAACATAAAAAATTTCCCGCATAGCCTAAGGACCTTTTAATATTCAATCATAGCAGCAAACATACCATGGAAAATATTTTTTCACAAACAAGTAGTGAGGCATTCGACAAGGAACATAGTTACAATAGTGATGACAAAGAAAGTGAAAGCGAGTATGAGGAAGAGGTTTTTCGGATTTTTTCGATTTGACGTTCTCTTTAAGTTCATTATCAAATTTCATAACTTGTACATCTATTTTATACTTAAGACATCATATATAATACTTGACCTAGGAACAGAAGCTACACTCGACATGTTAACAAATAACAATAAAATAATAAAAAACATTAATTCAAGTAAATATCACTTCTCGCAAAATGTTCTCGTTCGACGACAGCAAATTGATGATAACGATGATAATCAAGATGCTGATGTTGGTGGGAGTGGAGGTGACGGAGAAGTAAAGGACGACATTACATATTCCTTGATTGTAAGCTATTTATCTAGTACATTCGTTTAATTAAAATCTCTAATTGGGAGAATTAGCAGAAATCTTATTATATGACTATCATTAAACCAGGGGTTAGAAACAGATAATCCACGGATGCGTATTGGTAATATGTATTTTAAGGGAGAATATGATGAATCGATTGGAACTGATCTCGTGTTTTGTCAAGAACCTGGTATTATTATTTTGTTATCGTTCATTGTTATTTCACGTATGCGAACATATTTCACTTCTTACAAAACTTAAAACAAAAGACATATCAAACCCAAGACAACAATACCTAACATACACTTGTCAAACGACAAAAAAACTCATATTTTCAAGAATGTCACTACATCCTGTCGAATCACAAAATAATCGGGATGAAAGTGATCAACGAGATGAAGATTCTTTTTCTGTAAATGATATGAACTGTTGGGAGGATTTAAAATAGGGTTGCAATTCAACCCTTTTTTAATGATTACATTATCGTGTGGTTTGTGTTTGGGAATCTGGATTTAGAATAGTATCGAACTCAAGAACCGATCAAATCAATGATATGAAGCATTAAACTTCGGGCTCATTTTCAAAATTAATATAAGTGGCAATTGTTAAATGAATTGATATATTAGGTCTAAAAGTTATATGGAAATATATACAATAAATGAAAAATGATTATCAAAATTAATTCGTGATTTTTCGATAAATGACAGGATCTTTATAATAACATTTGGGGCAAATTATTATATTTTATTGAATAAGTGAAGTACACAGCCAAATCATGCTTAGAGTATAAGGTAAATGTGGGTATGATGACGATGTTACAAATAAAAGTATGATAAAAACTTTTTGATAATTTTTTTTAAATTTATGTAGATTTTAACTTGCCTTACAATCATGAATGAAAAGAAATCGTGCCTTATATAAGTTACTTAGAGGGCTATGATTTTTAATTTCGACGATTTTTTTCTTTCATATGACCTTCATCTCAACAATTTTTAGTTAAAAGTCGTTTTACACTTAAAACCAGAATTTTTTTTACTAACCTCTTTTACTTACCTCATTTTGTGGCGCATTATCGCTAACTTTTTATTTGAGCTTTTGTTATATGTTTTGGTGCGAAAAATTAATTTCTACGCTAAAGCATATTACGAAAAAAAATCATAAAAAAGTTATCCGTAATGCATCAAAATTTGAGTTTATGTAAAAGATAACATTTCGAATTTTACTTAGTTGATTAAATTAATCACATTTACTCTTATATGTTGTATGTCAAATTAAAATCTGCGTTAGGTTAAAATTATAATTCCCACCATAATACAAATATATATAAAATAATAAATATTCTTTTTGCCGTAAATGATTTAACTTTAGAGTTAAAATTAGTGTCGTTAGGGTTAGAACTGGTAGAGGTCAGAGTTGTTATTGGACTGGTCCAAAATATAATTTAGCATTGGACTTGGACTGGTCCAAAATATAATTTAGCATTGGACTTGGACTGGACCAAATTTATTAGTCCATTTAGTCCAATTGAGTCCAGTCCAATATATATTAATTTTTATTATTTTATATCTTCACTAACTGAAACTATTTATCAAATTTTAATAAATCTTTGCTGAATTCTTTAAACTATACAATATACATGTAATAAAGTTTTATTAAATTGCAATTTTTTTTAGAACAATATTAGCTTAATATTATTTAAAGACTAGATAAAAATTGCTAGCCAGCATAGTGAATAATCTAAAATGTACAACAGATATAAGCTTATTACGCATTTTCAGATTGATAAAAATAATGCGGTGCTTCTAAGTCTTCTATAAACAATTCTGCTAATTTCCATTTAGCAGTTGGATTATACACAGTATGAGTAGAACGTTCAACAAATTCATTACATTCAGAATCAATATCTATATCAAAATATTGTTGAATGGCTAATTTAGTTAAATTTTCATATTCTAATGATTTGATCCAGTTATTTATAGTTTCTTGCCAATCATCTAATAAATCTTGAGTTTCTTTAGTATTTAATTCGTCATAAAACATAGTTTCATGTAAATTTTCGTTTTCATTAGATGGAATTACCATATTTGCTGAATAACTTTTTTTAATTGCCTTTGCTTCAGCTATTCAGTGAGCATATGTAATAGAGCTATGAATTTGGCTAATTTTTAGTACTTTATTTAGATCTAAATGGTTTCTTGATTTTGAATAAATCCAACCCATAGTAGAGAATAATCGTTCACATGATGCTGAGTTAACACAAATACCGAATATAATTTTTGCTATAGCACCTAATTCACATACTTTCATTGATGCAAATGATCAAAATTAAGAAATATTACTTATATTTAGAAATTAATTGACAGTATAGTCATCAAATGGATATTTTTTTTGGTGATAATTTTCAAGTTCAATTAATATTTTTACTGGTGTCCGTTTAAACCATGCTTAATAGTAATAAATAATCCATTTTTCAAAATCAACATATGAAAGTCCTGAAGTTGTCAAATTAAATTTTGAATCACAATATTGTGGATTAAGAAGAAAGAAAGTAAAATTAAGAGTTGTTTTCAATTTTTTTATCTTTTTTCTAAACATGTTAACATTTTTTGATCATATTCAATATTTTCAAAATTTTTCTAAAATTTAGCCAAATATCCAAAAGTATATAAGACTTCATATAGTCGTGCAGTATTTGATTGAAGCTTATCTAAACAATTACAATAAGGTTCTAATAAATTTAATAAAATTTGAATATTACTCCACCAATTTTTATCTTTACAAAAGTCTTGTTGTAAAATTTTATCATTATTTTTATAATTGCTTCATCAAATTCCTTGTTCATTAATAGCTTCAAATTTAGTAACCAAAATTTGTAATGCATACTTGCTTTTTAAAAGACTTTTAAAGCAAAAAAAATAACTATTCCAGTGTGTATCCACAGATTTAGCTAAAGAAATATAGTGATTATAAAGACTTTTTTGCTCATTGCGCAATATTCCAATCCAATAAGTATTAGTTCCAGAATTAAAAAACTTAGCAATTGATAAAGCTTGAGTTGAAATTTGAAAATAATTATTATTTTCTTTAAAAATTTCTCCTACATAAAGATTAACTTGATGTGCGAAGCAAGGTAAATAAATTTTTTCACAATGCTTAATTTGAAGTCGTGATCTATATAAAAAAAATTTAAAAATTAATAATTAAACGATGCATATATTATACATATATAATAAAAAATTTATAATTAAATATTTACCTTGCTGCAGCATAAGCTGCAGCACTATCAGTAACAATGCAAGCAATTTTAATGTTGTAAGACTCTATATCATTACAAACTTTTTCAATTTGTTTTATAATATCTTTAGTACAGCTACAATCTATACTAATATCATAAGCATCCCAGATTAAAGGTTAACCAGCTGATGTAATTATAACAACACCAAGCAAATTTTGTGCTTTGACATTTGTCCAACCATCCATTGATAATATAACTATAATTTCCTCTTCAGTTGCTTTTTAATTAACTTATTTTGAATATATGTTGTAATATTATCCAAAATTGCTCCACCAAGATTTTGACGAGTAGGAAACTTAATTGTTAGATTTAAAAAAGTAAATACTGCTTGCAATTCAGAATTTTCACTTGCTCGAAATACCATTCTTGCTGATATTACACCATATAACCAAAGCTCATTAAATTTTTGTTTTTTTTTCATTACTCATATTATGAGCAATAAATTGATCTGATGGTTTAACTTTATTTTTTGAAGTATGCTTTTTTAAATGAGCTTCCTGCATTAGTAGCTAAATACAAAATTAGCTAAATTTAATAAGTTTTAAATAAATTATTTTTATTAAATTACCTATAACAACTTCTAAACTTTTTGGATTTACTTGATTAAAAATCTCTTCTTGTTCTTCTAAACTATGAGCATTTTTAAAATACTCGCATTGATTTAAATATGATTTAACACATTTAGCATTATTGGTAAATTTTTGATTATCTAAATGTTCCTCTTCAAGTACAGTAATACAGTAAATATATCAGCATAGATGATTAAAACCATTAGGCTTTTTAGAATAAATTTTTACAAATTTAGATAAAGGATAGCCACGTTTATTTGCTTTGTCCATTATACAGTGTGTCTATTATTAATTAAAATAAATTTAAATGATCTATTTTTTTATTATAATTTCTTGTATTTTTACAAACCTTTACTTATATTATTTTCCTCTTCATGTTTTTTATATACACACTTTAATATTTATTCAATTTTGCAATTCGAACCTTTTTATTTAATTTTATATACATTAAATAAACTTCTAAACTACATTACAAATCTATTATAATAGACTTTATAATTATATCATGATATACAATATATTTTCATATAACAATAATCTAATTTTAGCATCAAATATATATATATGTATATATATCACATGATTATTTTTTAGTCCAATAATGGTCCAGTCCAATTTTGCTTAATAGACTGGACTGAATACAATTGGATTAGTCCAGTCCAATAGTCTAGTCCAGTTTAATAACAACTCTGGTAAAGGTTATACTAAAATTTTGTAAAAAATTTTTTTGTTAAAATATAAATGGTAAACTATTAGCAATTTTTTAACAAATTTTATATTTAGTAAAAAAATTTTTTTAATATTGAGATTGTTTTTATTTTTTTTTTAATATTAATGGTGAGGCCAAGATTGTCCATTTTATTGAAATTTAATTAACTTTTTTTATAACAATTTTTTCAAAAGAAATTTTTTTATATAAATTAATTTAGAATAAAATTAGAACTATTTTTCATTTAAGATACAAAAATAGTTGTATTAATAAAATTTTACAGTAGGCAGACGGGAAAGCCTATTTACCTAGATTCCTGAGTTTATAACGGCCAGACTCAACGTATAGAGCAGGCTACAGGTAATCTGAAAACTGTGCGAGCCGGGTATACGGTGAGCGACCTTGTAAAAGACAATTATAACAAGTCACTATCAACATCATCCACCTCCTGTGACTTGCCAAATAATCAATTACC